TTAATCACAATTAAAAGTTTGAACAAGGTTTATTGATTTTGAAAACAAAATTCATTCATCGTAAAAATAATGAAGAGCTTTTGTAGTTGTCATGGGTAAAATCATTTTTTACTACTATATTAGTCATGACATATTTTTTTGGGGTAAAATATGAGTACTTATTTTTTATCAACTTTTTAATTTTAAAAATGCCCAAATTATTGTTTATTTTTACTGCAATATTTAATTTAGAAGAATATCACGAGCTAGTACGCATTACCAAGATTAATAATTAACGCAGTAGTTAAAAATCCTGTAGAAAAATTCAAAATTCAAAACCCTGTTTAGAAATGTTTATAAGTACCTACCTAGGCTACTACTAACCTAGTACCATTTTAAGTATGACTTTTTAAAATTAATATGAAAGTTAAAAGGTAAATCTTAAACAAGAATAAGTACTAAAAGTTAAATAAGAAAATTAATGTATTTTCATATTTAACTTTTAGTTATAACACAATATAATTTTGTACTTTTGAACGTGTAGTATTATGAGTGAAAAAGTTATAAACTTGAGAAAGCAATAGAGATAAATTATCACTAACTTTCGTAACTATATTATGTACATGAACATTGCACATAAATAATTTGCTGGGAAATTTATTAAAATATAGGTAAGCACTAATTATCTCAAAAAGTAATGAAAACGTTATCAAACATATCGTCTTTTAATGATTAGGGATAATGTAAAAAAAAATACGTTAAAATAGTTGAGATAATGATATGTTTGGATATAATAATATTCATATTTAAGATGTTAGTTAACAGTCTTTATAAAAATTATAAGAATAAGAATATATAATATTATAAATACTCGTAGACTTAGAATTTTAAATATTTTTGTATGGTTAACTATACAGGCATAACATATTTGGTATTAATATTTAAAATTAAACATTCATAATTTAATAATACTTCCAAATATTAAAATTACTCGAAGAAATATTTAAAATGGTGAAATTTGAAAAAATGTTTTTATGAAATTAATAAAGAAATATTATTATAAATGATATATATTTGTTTGAAATTAATATTCTGGAGTGATTTGTTTATTATAAAGTTGTTGACACTTCGGTATTCACAGAGTTTTTCACCGAAACGTGGGAAATAGTCACCAAGTGATTTTTAACATTGCTATGGTTCACTTAAATAATTCCCTAGGGCCATGTTAGAAGGTTGAAAATATTTGTATTCAAAATTGTAAGAAGATTTAATGCGAAAAAAAACAAATAAAATAATATTACAAAAGAAAAAAATAGCTGGGATAACAAAAAAGTTGGCCAGCCAGTTCTGCTGAATTCACTTAAGATGCACTGTCACGCGCAACAGGATTTCAATTTCCCGTCATCCCCACCTATGGGCCCGCAGGGTAACAGATCATGAAAAAAGGGTAAACGACTATAAGAGTGCGTGGCTGCTGTTGGATAAATCAACGGCCATAGGAGTTCGGCAAGGTATTTTCAAGCAATGTTTTCTCTCCGGTGTGTCGAAAACTTAAAGCCGTTTCACAGCGGAAACTTTATTAAAACTTTAAACGAGACAAGATGCCGGGTTTGGAATATTGCTTCAACTTACTGGTTAAATACCCCATATGCTTACGGAGTTTTTGCCATCATTTAAACTTTAAGTATATCATTAGTTTATTGGACAAGGTGAAAAAACAAAAACCAAAACGGTTACAATAAATTTGATAATGAATAACTAACCTACTTAAACATTTATAATGCATTATCTATATATAGCAATAATTTTGGAATCGTATAATAACAATCATAATATTATATCATGTGTTTAGTTTAAGTCAGTAAAATCATATTAGGGAATTAAACAAAAATGCTAATCAATTGTAATATATAGTGTTGTTTCGTAGTAGAGCTTTATCATTTTTTACATAGGTAGTTAACATAACAATATTATATAGCATATTTTATAAACTTTATTTTAAAATATATCGTTTTAGAAATTTAATGATAAATGCATCGCATAGAACCATTCTTATTGAACATGTAACTATCTAATAATATAATTTTTATGACCTTATCACTGTGAATAATTGCTGACGATTAAAATAATATTTCCCTGAAATACACCATAATTGTAATAATATAGAATAAAAAATAAAAATAAATTATAAAAATCTTTAAAAAAGTTTAAATTACGTTTGTTAAGTATCACATGGCTTAAAATCTTGAACGATTATTATAATTCGTAACACACATTTGTACATAAATTATGTTTAGGTAATGCATCATTTTTTTTTTCATACAATTCAACAGTTTTCACCAGCCGGCTATGATGTAACGTATCCGTATACTAATGACGTCGATTGTCGTATTTCAATTACAGTCCGAATATCACTACCAGAGACTGTCAGGTTGAATGCGGATTAAATTCAAAACACTCATGCAAACCATAATAATTCCCGTTGGGATAAAATAAAACTTGAAATGATTGACCTTACCCTGGTCGATAACGATTGGAAAAAAAATAACATTCTATTGGTTGTCGGTTGACAGCATAATATATAGTAGTATACCGAATTATAATACGCGTCAGCGGTTGCCGGTTAGGTTAAACATGGACAAACGAGCTTCGTTTTATTATCTGCTGTATAAATAATTGCAGTAAGTGCAGGCTGGAGGCTGCATCCAATTTGCATATTTCCATTTACCTAAACATTGACATCCGAATATTTGATCGTCGGTATTCCAGTCAGCGTACATACGAATTGGTTCGCGTTAAAGACTTTTGAAAAATGTGAAATGCAATCTATTCATATTGAATTTTAATATAACATATCATAAATCCGATCGTTATGTTGTACGATTGGAAAAAAAAATAGTTAAAAATCGATAAATATATATAAAAAATTTGCAATATCAATGAAATAGTTATATAACAAAAAATTTAATTCATATGATGATCTATTTCGAAACCAATAAACACAACTATAACCATATGTGCATAATATTTAGACGTTCCTAACTCCTAAGTCTATACAAAACGGGAAACAATATTAGTAAAATGCTTTTGAAATAATCTGGTAATTATCAATTCAGATAGTATATTTTTCTTAACAGCTTGGAAACCAATTCATATACACCATGCAGAGTGCAGACTGGTCAGGTTAGTGCCAGGAGAGCATACCCGGTCGGCTATAAATATACATATTTATATATGTCAGATAGTTTGCCGATTATTTGACGATATAGGATGTTATAGTACATATTTTATTTCAAATACGTATATCAAACTATAGTTATAAAAAGTGACTAAAATATTTAACCGATAGGAATAATTAATATAGGTTAATAAGTTCATGGCTGAACCATAATACCACAGTTTATATTGATATTACAGTTGTAGGTATGAAGTATACATCCATCGTCGATGTTTTAATTAATCTGTGATAAATGAGTATGGTATCTAATGCAAAAAAAAAATTGCCGTTTTAAAATAATATGTTTATTGACCGCAGTTTACAATCAGTATATTATTTTAGATTAACCATACAGTTTACAATATTATAGATAATTAATTGATCAAGTACACCGCCTATATCCATCATTTATAATATTAATTTGTGATGAATGGTAATATAGTAATACGATATGGGTACATAATATCCGAAAAATATATGCACCAATGAAGACTTCATATTTATAGCTGTCAAAAACGAGTTGTTTTTTTCGTACATTTTGACCAATAAGCGGGAGAAAATAATACCTATAGTCTCATTTTAATTAAAAAAAAAATTATTTGAATTTGTTCACTTCTATTGCCAGTGTTTCGATGGAAATAATTTTTTTTTCAGTATTACTTAAGTAAAAGTTAATTTTGAATAAAAAAAATTATTTTTGTATTATACTAATTAAATAATACCTACAATAAATCGAAAATCTGTTTCTCACATACTAATACTACCTATAGAAAAAAAAAATGAATTCAAATATGCTTTTGAAATTAAAATCGGACGTTTGGTACTGAGTGGATTTTTCGTCCGATTTAATGTTGAATATTTTGTGATCGCTAAAAATAATGACTTGTGACTGCACGTACGCTACGAATTCGTAAGACTCTTGGGCGTAGTTCATCTTCAAATTATAAAGCGTTCGGGGAATTCACGAACACTATAATAATCAGTTACCGCACACACAGTTACAATACTCACACACATTGAATGAAATGCCTAAATTTGGCACCTTAAAAATGGTTCGCCATTCACAGCCTTAAGAAAAATAACTTCTACCTGCTTATTATAATAAGCTTATTGATCACAGTTTATATAATCTCTGTGAATATATACTTAAATAAATAATATTGTAAATACAACTTTTTTTCCGTAAATTCGGTATTACATTTTTTCCATTGACTTAAATCAAAAACTTAATTGTTTGGGAAGTTAGCCATATACATGGTTCAATCACTATTATAAACGCAATAAAGATGATTTAAGTATAATTTCAGAAGTTTTACACAAGATGTATGACAATAGGTATTATCTTAAATTGAATATACTACCCGGTTATCCATAAAACAAAAAGACATCTTTGTAAAATAAATTGATAAAAATACTGGTATAAAATTGGCTTGAGCCGTTTGTTGTCGTAGAATACTGTTCAATATACTTCCAAGTCTACTTTTGTTTTATTAATTGTTTCTTTGAGTTAAAATTAATAATATAAACAGTTAGGTATAAACACATTAAGTCGTAGTTTTCTTTACGGATGACAAAAATATAATATGTCAGATGTATTTTCAACGTGAATGGTGAATTGGTGATTAATTTTAATTAAATTGCTTTCAACTACGCAATGGGACAATACAAAAATGGTGTAACCTGATCACAATAATAACATAATACCTGTTGGTCCTGTAGAGAATCGTTTTGTAAAAGCTTGGTATATATTTATACGAGTCGGATATAAAAGTAAAAAAAATAAAAGTTAAAAAGAAATACTTACTTCACCATTTGGGCGTAACAGGACGATGGCTCGGAGTTGTTTGTCGACGAGGTCAGTGTGCTGGTCGAGTGGAAACGAGCTCGTTCCATTTTCATTCTTTCCATTTCCCTCTTTTTTGTCTCGGAAAATTGTGTGGCTATGACTACCAAACACAGGTTTATCATGAAAAACGATCCGATCTGAAAAAAATTAAACTTTGTATGAAGAAATATTTTTTAAGTAATGCAATAGGTACTTATGAATTATGATACAATATATTTTTGTGAAATAAATATTTCAATGCAGAAATTATTATTTGGACATGTAACTATACTGTATAATATTATAATATAAATACATATTATACTATATATTAATGTAATCAGTAAGTATATACATAATATATGTTCAGTATTCACGTGAATCTTTAAAGTTGCCTTAAGTAATGTCTCTTGCAGGTGGTTGTTTCGTTGTAATTCAACGATTGTGTGAAAACACGACGACAGTTTTGCATTATTAAAGCTGTTGAAGCTTTTGGSATCGTTTTAAATATTATATAAGTTTACTTATTTCCACATATCTATTAGCAGTACGAACCACGAGTATAAAGTTTCGAGTTATTGTAAATAACACAACATGTAATTTATTATTCTATTTCAACAAGTTTTTGGCAAATTACATGTCATGATATTATATATTTTTAGTTTTTATTTTAGACGTTGGTAATTTGTCAGTCATTTCAATATATGTACATATATTATAAATATGTAGTTTGACAATAATAATACCTATTAGCATTTTTTTTTTTTTAAATGTTTAATCACAACACTCAGGTATACCTTATGGAAACTCTACAAGAATAACAATTTATTAGAAGAAAATATATTGACTTATTGATACATTTATCAATACAGTTTATTTTATATAGATACATTATATTATATATTTATATGTATTCTTATTTTAAAAAATAGAAATGTTTTTATATTTTATAATCGATGCAGTTGTTTCATATATATACATTGATTATATTTGCTTTATTTATTGTATTATACTATTATCATAACTTTAGCAGACGCTTACTTATTAAAATTTTAGTACCTATATACACAATGTTCTCATAAAATTGTAAAAGCAATCGTCTTACTTTTGTATAATATTATAATAAATTAACGTAATTTTAGTGAAAGTAGTAAATTTAAAACAAGAAAAATTGAAAACTGAATCTTAAATGTTTTTTAAGAAGACACTTCCCAAAAATTATTGTTGCTAATGAATAATGGTTGTCGATTTTATTTGCTTAAAATTTCTAGAGTAAGTACAGAAAAAGGTTGATTTCCATCAGTATCTTGTTGCCTATACTTTATATACTATTGCCTCAATGGTTTGCAAAACAAAAAGTGTGAAATGTGATATATTATTTTCTATCTGTTTATCCATACACTATAAATGTGTTTTATGAGTATCAATTAATTGTTTTAAATATTTATACTTCAAGTGCAATTCAAACGTTTGCCTAGTGTTCAATTAATAGTCATTTAAGAGTTTCGCAATTATTGTTTTTAAATTTAAAAAAAAAAAAAACTAATACTACTTATGAATTATAGTAGTTAGACTTGACAAACTTATATCCCAAGTGATGAACTAATGAATATTTCAATAAAGTATTTAAATTCACGGGTATATGCACTCAGAAACTAACTTTTGAAGTTTGAATCGGTCTTTTTATCCATATATTGTTAAAGTATAGTTGAGCATGAATGTTTATCTCGTTCTGATTATAACTCATAATAAACCTAAACTGATATGAACAGATATTATGATTTTATATTTAGGATAAATATTTTTTATTTTAACAATTTTTTTATTTCCATATGTTTTTGTACTTTTTAAGTTAGTTTAAATTTAAAAGTCCTTATAGTTTAAGATAAGTAATTAAAAATCATTTATCATATTATATATAAATAATTTAATTTTATATTTTTAAATATTTAAAAGTATATAATTTGAATTAATTTTTAATAATAAATAATTAAATAATAGCAAATTGTTTTGTTCAATAAAACATATTGGCATATGTTTGTTACATTCGTGTTACTGTAAAATATTATTTTAAATTGAAATGGGTGCGTATCCGTTAGGACGTAAACAAAATTAGTTTTGTGAATTTCCATAAAAATATGTCAAAACAATACACTCGAGAAACGTGAAACTTCGTTTTAAAATATTTGATTTTATTCATGCAACAACCAATACTATTTATTTGAATCAAATAAATTCAATAAATTTACTTTAGTAGGTGATACATACTTATAATATATTTTACCGAAATTATATAAAAAAGTTTTAGTGATACTTAATAAAAAAAATCATAGACGTTACAACGTACTGCCCGCTGGTTAACACAAATGATTTGGCCACAACATAACTATATAATATGACTATAATACTATATTTATACATAATATTAAGTACGTATGTTATTATTTATATATTTAACAGATTACTTTTGGTGTATACCTGCTTATTTATATTTATTTATGTATGAACTTTTATGTCTACACTAATTATGGTATGCATAGTAATTAGTATGTATTATATGTGATTGATAAGTTGGTAATAAAATTATCCAGCACTGGATAAAGACAAAATGAAGACTAAATTAATTAATTATAATAATTGTGGTTTTATTGTGACTTTATATCTTTCATAAGACTATGTGTAATCCATTCCAATTAAAGTATTTAGATATAATTATAATGATTAAATGAATAAAAAATGTATTTTATAAATAATTTTAATTTTGTTTTTTTACTTTTAAACCACCGGATGACATAATTTTAAATATGTATAAAAATTATATTTTGTACAAATACCTAGTTAATTATTTTTATATAATTAAATTTTTAAATGTTGAGCATTAAAGTGAATTATAATTTTTGAAGTAAACCTTATTGACCCCGCTCATCAAAAAATTGAATACCTCACGCACTATAGTGGTATGAAATTCAGTTTTTATGCATTGAAGTTATCTTGTAATTAAAAAATAATTAAAAATTAAATAACGATAAAAAATAATCTTCTTTAGGAAAAAGTGTTTCTAAAGACTAAACATTTTGTAAAAAAATATTTTTGAAAATATGAATAGTTTTTGAAATAATGAATGTCTCGCGCCCTCATCGCCTTCAATTTTCAGGTACAGGAAAATACTAGAAAAACATCAGTTTTTTAAAATAATTTAAAAAAAGTGAAACCTGATTTAACGATTGTCATTATTTTCAATGCAAAAAAAAAATAATATTAAATATTTATTGCATTGAAATATAATATTCAGCCATCTTGAACGTTTTTTAATCAATGCCCGATCCGTACTTGCCTTTATTATCTATAATACTTTACAATATGAAATTCAATACCATAAAATTCAGTATTTACGACGGATATATTTTAATATAGGTGTATGCCATTTACAGTTTTAGTAAATCAGTAATGTTAAATGCGTATAATATTTAGATTATTTTGAGAAACATAAAACTGTATGATATTGTCTTGTATGTTAACATTTTGTTATGTTTGTACAATTATCTGTAATTAAGGAGGCCTTAAATATAGGAGCCAGCGTTGATGCATAATTTAACAACAAAAGTATTCTGAATTTTATTTGTAATTTATTATTTAATGAAAAATCGGGTATTGATTACGTCAGTAATTTCTAGATTAATTGTATGATACAAATCTAAACAAGGGATAGTACTGGTACGGTATACGCAATTACATACACCAAAATTATGTTAATTAGGCAATCAATTAGAAAAATTGTTATCAATAAATTGCTTTCTGAGTCGTTCCGTATAAAATACGATATTTTATCACATTTTGTATTACATTTATTTATCAGAATTAAATCGAGTAGGTACGTAAAAATTATGGATACGAATATTATACGATATAAAAGATAAAATATGATATATATGCGTCATTAGAAGTAAATATTCTCTAAATCGTTGAAAATACAATTTCAGATAATATACTTACTATACAACGGTACAAGACCTCAAAAATGATCAATTTGAAAAATATTAATTTATTTTATAGGTATTGAGAGAAAATGATATTAACAAAGTAACAGTCAATATTTATGATATTCTTATCCAGCTATTTTTAAATGTATGTAAATATATATATTTTGTATTGTTATTAATAAAACAATTTTTGAAATAAATTTATTACTTACCTACTAGATCATTTTTACTTTAATTTTTTAATAACTTAAAATTTTAATAAATAGTTATTTATATTGTTAACATTCCCTATTTTATTATGGACGATGGATCGTTTTAAAACTATATAATTAAAATAACCAGTCATTGTATAAGTTACGTATACACACATGAGCTATGTAATGGGTGTTCAACATTAAATACAATTTAAAAATAAATATAATTATTTAATTTACATTTTTATACAACCCCTCGCAATGAAAATATTCATGAACGCCATTGTATTCATCGAAAGTAAATAATATAAAACAGAAATATTTAATACGCTTTAATTTTAACCAAATGCAACGCAATATTTTTCAAAACAATTTATAATAATTAGTGTTTAACATTACACCGTTTATGAAATTGTTTAAAACCTTACATTTTAATGAACTTAGATAAAAGTTTTGACCTAATGAAAATCTGAGTGAAATGATTTAATAATTTGTGTTTTAATTTTATTGATTTTTCTCAGTGAATTAATTTATGTATGATATTTTGTGTGCAATAATTTTTAGCCGTAGGGATTCAAAAAAAAAAAAAAAAAATTAAGTTGTTTAATAATATTTAAACTAAATTATTGAATATTAAAGTTAAGAACGGAACTTTGTTTGTTGAAATAAACATTTCATACTGCAATACAAAATACTTATATATATTTTCAGGTGAAATTTGTTTATATAATTTTGGCCATTGGTTTTTTTCAGTGATCAGTAAGTATTTGTTTGTCAAGGAAGGTATTTAAGTTCTGTAAGTTATATAACTAGTTAATCAATACACATTTTACTTAATGCCCTACATAAATGATTTCAAAGTATTTAAAGTTTTAGAACTCTTAGAAAAATATATACTTAATACTTATAAAGTTCATATAGTACTCGGCGCTCAATACCTACTAAACTGTAGTCTATAAGCTTCTGTTACAGTTAGTCAAGCGG